TAATGGAGGTGGTTTAATATTGGCTGGCTGGTTACACAATTTTAATTATACTAACTAATATGAACTAATTGAGACACCTTAAGCTAGCTACATCAGATTTTTTTATCTCTTCCTCAAGATGCCACGTGGCATGGGTTCCATTAGAATTATCGTCGTTTCCTTTCTCTTATTATAATGTCATCAAGTGGGTTTTACGCTACAATCTTCTCCTTCATATGGAACGATCTACTTCTTCCTTCTCATTGATCATGAATTGATTTCTCTACAAGGATCGAATCGTCTCATCTTCCCCTTTCACTCGCTCACTCAAATAATCACATTCATTCGAAGTGACTTCCATTCGAATCACTTCCACCCTAATAATCACCATAGATTACTTGAGTTAAGGTTTGATCAACCATATCTGTTTGAAGAGACCCGGTCCATCTTAAGTTGCTGTTGGAATTTCTCTATAAACTCAGATTTATGAGTTAATAAGGTCTATGTTGGTGTAGCTTTTATAGAAAATAAAACATTCCTCAAGTTTTGTGTTGTTTTGCAATCAGTTTAGGTTTAGCTTAATGTCTTATCTTTGTTGACAACTGGATCTAATGACTATAAATTAGTTTATGTGATTGGATTGATCTCCGAATGTTGTTTCTTGAGATGTTTGAACTCCATGTATATATTTCATTATACAGGTTTTGGATGGTTTAAGAAGAAAGGCTTCAAAGTATTATTTGGTGGATGCGGCTCAGCAAAGATACAATTTTGTTGTTTAATTTGCCTTTTGAAGAACATGCGATGGAAACATGCTGGTGAGACTCCTTAACATTTCTTCCTCAATTTTTGTTCTCAATCCTTGGGTATAATACTTATATATATGCGTAGTCTAAGTGAAGCCTTAGGGTATCTTAGCTTATGTTGACATCATCATCTCCATTTTCCAGCCAATAACGTTGGAGTTGCTGCTAATGATCTTTGTCTTCCCACAAGACAGTTATTTCTGTCGCGTTTATGAATGTGTTGTTAAAGATTCAACAAACTACTTGAATCACATAAATGGGGAAAAGCGTAAGTAGTGGTGGATTTTTTATCTGCTCTTTACTCGCCATATTTCTAACAAGCTAAACTAAAGAAATCAGATTCATTTTGAAGCCACTAAATTGTTGGAGGAAATATGTAGTTTGTTTTTAATTTCTAAACTAAACTTGACGGTTTTGTTTTTGTTTCCCACAGTTCAAAGGGCATTGGGAATGTCTATGTGAGTGGAGTGATAATCTCTTGAACAAGTACAAGTTTATCTCCAATGCATATATTATTGCTTTCATTGGTTTTGTATATGAATGAAATATGAGACAGAAGTGTTTCTGGTTTGAATGCATTAGGTCCACGAGCGCTTCAAG